GGGGGTGTGGGGGCGACTAAAACCTCATGGGAAGGGGGGCGTTCCGGTCCGTCCTTCATGCCCTACCGAAGTCACCAGTTGCCCCCCACGAGCGGCTCTCCAGCACAGCCACGGCCCCAGAAGCACAAGGACTTAATGCAGAACCCAGCAGCTTGGAGCAGAAAAGTGAACGGACTATGCGTTGATCCAGGCCATCAAGTCTGCCGGAGGGGAAAGGGTGTTGCCCCATTCGCCCTCTCCTCTCTGGAAAGAAAGATGGCGGCCACATGGGAGCCTTGTGGACAGCAGGTATGAGCCGGGGGTGTGGGGGCGACTAAAACCTCATGGGTCGGGGGGTGTTCCGGTCCGTCCTTCACGCCCTACCGAGGTCACCAGTCGCCCCCCGCGAGCGGCTCTCCAGCACGTCCATGGCCCCAGAAGCACAAGGACTTAATGCAGAACCCAGCAGCTTGGAGCAGAAAAGTGAACGGACTATGCGTTGATCCACCCATCAAGTCTGCCGGAGGGGAAAGGGTGTTGCCCCATTCGCCCTCTCCTCTCTGGAAAGAAAGATGGCGGCCACATGGGAGCCTTGTGGACAGCAGGTATGAGCCAGGAGTGTGGGGGCGACTAAAACCTCATGGGAAGGGGGGCGTTTCGCTCCGCCCTTCACGCCCTACCGAGGCCACCGGTTGCCCCCCGCGAGCGGCTCTCCAGCACGGCCACGACTCCAGAACACAGAAACCAATTTCTTAACTATCTGACTTTCAGTAGAAATACTTCCAGGGTCAATAGGTAAAATAGCAGAAATCCAAAACCAACATTTAATTCTTGAACCCAGCTGTAGAAAGCAAATCACTTCACAATGCTTTTTCAGCATGTCTGATTTGGGGGGGGGGGGGGGGGGGTAAACTCTAAATAATAGTGGTGAATCTTTTATTGAAACAATGAATCCAATCAAAGCAGATAGAGTGTAAACTAGAATTCATCTGCCTCACAGGGACGGGGAGGGGTGGGGCGTGGGGTTTTATTGGGGTTCTTCATGGTAAAAAATAAGTATTGGTAAAGGGAAATGTGTTTGATATTTGCATGACTGAGACATAAACCTGAAAGCTTTGTAACCTTTCCCACAGTGATTCAATAAAAAAAAATAAATTAAATAAAATAAAATTAAGAGAAATACAGCGATTTTTTAAAGCATAACCAAAAAAGAATGTAGAGTCACCCAAAGTTAACTAGAAAAATATGTAACATTAAGCATTGTAAACTATAAGCATATTAACAGGTTACAGGAAAAAACTGCTATAAAAATTTCAATAAAATTTACCATCCATTTAAGAAAGACACTAGTAGCACAACAGAAACAGAAGGGAACTTCCTTAATGTTCCTTAAAAGATTATCTACCAAAAATCTGCAGCATACTTAAAGGTCAAACTGTGAAAACTTTCCCTTTGTGATCAGGAACAAGATAAGGATGTCCTCTATCATCACTTCTATTCAGGAATGTACTGGAGAGGTCCTAGCCAGGGAAGTAAGGCAAAAGAAAGAAATAAAAGGTGTAAGGATTGGCAGGAAAGAAACAAAACTCATTATTCACATATGACATGTCTGTGAATATAGAAAACAGAAAGTATCAATAAAGAGACTGTTAGAAATGAGAGCTGAACAAGACTGAGATAAAAATAAAAATAATTTAAAATTACCTAAAAAAAAAAAAGAAAAGAAATTCAATGAAAGATGAATTTCATTTCATACAAGTCCTCTCCAGTGGAGAAGTTGTAGTAAAAGTCCATAAAGACATGAAACAACAATATATAAAATAAGGGGCCAGAGATAGTACAGCAAGTAAGGCACTTGTTTTGGCAGCAAGCTGACCCAGGTTCGCTTCCCAGCATTCCATATGAGCCTTCAAGCACTAATACCTGTGTGCAGAGCCAGGAGTAAACCCTGAGCATTGCCAGGTGTGACCCAAAAGCCAAATTAAAAAATATATATGTATATAATCATGATTTCAAGAATTCATTATTAGAAAAATATTGCTCCCCACACTGAATACAAGTAATTTTAATGAAAATCATAACAGGACTGTGTTGATACTTAAGAATATATGGAAATGTGGGGCCGGAGTGATGGCATAGCGGGTAGGGCGTTTGCCTTGCACGCAGCCGACCTGGGTTTGATCCCCGGCATCCCATATGGTCCCCCAAGCACCGCCAGGAGTGATTCCTGAGTGCAGAGCCAGGAACAACCCCTGAGCATCGCTGGGTGTGACCCAAAAAGCAAAAAAAAAAAAAAAAAAAAAAAAAAAAAAAAAAAAAAAAAGGAATATATGGAAATGCAAAGGAATAATAGCCAAATACAGTTTCAAAACAAAATAGAGTAAGACACTTTCTCTACTATGTCAAGTGGGACAAGACAGTGGAACTTATAGGAATTTATCAGTGGAACAAAAAATAAGAGATCATACATAGACCCAAACATACAGTGGACATATGATAAAGGGAGCAGGACAAAATTGAGAAAAGGTGTTTTTTTTTTTCATTGTTAGCACTGGTCCATATGAAAACAAGTAAAACTAAAGCATGCTTTAATATATACTCTTGTGGAGTTCATGCCCAATTCAATCAGCCTAATCAATGGCTGAATAAATAGCAATACTCCTACATTAACATTTAAAAAAAATAATAATAATATACTCTTCACAAAATGCTAGATAGTTGGTAATTACATACAAGCAACAATCATTTGAAAAATGACGTCAATTCAAAATAAAACACTGATAATATTATCCTGGTAGGATTTATGTTAAGGAGAAGTGTCTTATGTTTAGTGAATCTTGGAAATGTTAATATTTTACCCCGTAGTAAAAGCAAGTAAGCAAGTAAGCAACTATGTTACTAAGATACCAAGATTTTTAGACTTAGCAGTATATAAGATCAAGGTTAAGTAAAGAAATTTTCCTGAAGAAGAAATACCATTAATTCCATGAGTGAGGGAAGGGGAAAATATCCAGAGGTGCTAATGGCTTACTCCTGCTTGTGCTGACGACACCGTATGTGGTGCCAGAGATCAAACACACGTTGGCTATATCAAACAAGTCTACTGTCCTATTGCTTGACCTTAATTCCAATTTATCTTAGTTTTTAAAAAAAAGAAATCTTGTCCAGGGACCAGAAAAATAGTACAGTGGGTAGGGTACCTGCCGTGCACACAGCCAACCCACGTTCAATCCCCATCATCCCATATGGTCCCCTGAGCCCTCCAGGAGCAATTCCTGAGTGTAGAAGCCAGGAGTAATCCCTGAGCATCACTGTGTGTGACCCCAAAACAAAGAAACAAAAAATGTCTTGTCCTTTCAAAATACCTAAAAAAAAAAAAATGAAAGGTCAGAAGGCAGGTCAAAAGTCTCTAAATAGCAATTCCTATAGGAAAATAATTGTTTGATAAAACATCTGGGATGCAACAGTTTTAGGGCAGAAAATACCACCAAATATCTCTCAAAATGCTTATCCAAAGAAATTTTAGAAGAATACTGAGATAATGTAAGAAAGATATACAAATCAAATGAAGCGTTAATCAGTGATCGAAGATGAGATAATTAGTACAATGAGTTTGAGTACATTTTAAAATATTTTAAAATGTAAAGAAGTTCAAATGATAATAAAACCCTCCCTGCCAATAATACGGTAAGTTTCACAGGATGCTAGGAACCAACTTGCTACTATGGAATTGATAAAGGAAGAGAATCAAGTCTTTATGACTTTCCTGTAAAAGACTATTTCAGGATAACCGAACACTTGACAAAATGTCTTATTTTCTAATAGTATAGCTAATAAGTACAGCCTAATTATCAAATCAGAAATCCACTGTCCATCATCATTTGACCACAGAACTTATTAGAATTTATTAAAGGTAAGGTAAAGGCCCTCCCGTTGATCATCAATTTGCTCGAGCGGGCCCAGTAACGTCTCCATTGGAGACTTTGTTGTTAATGTGGTTGGCATATCAAATACGTCACGGGGAGCTTGCCAGGCTCTGCCGTGCGGGCGAGATACTCTCGGTAGCTTGCCGGGCTCTCCGAGAGGGGCGGAGGAATCGAACTCAGGTCGGCCATGTTGGCCGCTTGTAAGGCAAATGCCCTACCGCTGTGCGATATGGTAAACATCCATGAAAGCTAAAGTGAAAGGAAGATGGGGAATTTTAAATGGATTGATTATGCTGTTATCAACTATACCCACTGATCAATCCTGCATTACTAAAAATAAAACTGTTACTCTTGATGAGATAAAACAAGTAATACAAAGTAAAAAAACTAGATCTAACTGACTGAAAGTTTGATTAACTTCCCTATATAATTATTCTATAATAAGAGAAATGAGATGAAGGAACATGCTATAGGATAAGAATATACTCAATCAAATCACAAATGTGAGAAACTCTACAAAATAAAATGAGTTTCTTGAACAAATGAGAGAATAAAAACTTGTAAACTGATATAAAGAAAAGTTAAGACGTGAATGCAATATTGGCTTTTGTTTAGATTCTATGAGTTACTAAAATTGGGGGGAGGGGGTTCTAGATGAATGGAGGAAAACTAAAACTAGCCTGGATACTAAAAGACATTAAGAATTATGCTTAGTTTTTTGTTTAGGTATAGAAAAACAGTCGTTACTCGCTAGATATACATAAGCAAAGATTTACTAATGTAATTATATAATGTTCTTAGATTTTTTTAAAATACTATAGATATATTCATAAATAGCTTGCACAATTATAAATTACAGTAAATTAAGTATGAGGGTACATGGCTAAGCGAACAAACATATGAACAATTCTGGTATATTAATTCAAATTATGTATGAAGAAAAAACAAGATTTTTAGATCACATAGAATATCTTCATATTCTCAGAAGGTAGGATTTGTTAAAAAAAAAAAAACACAAAATTCATGAAACAAAAAATATATACCATACATAACTTACAAAGACTGTCTACTTTGCATTATTTTAGAGGTACTTACTGCTGGCAAAAGAGACTGCATATTTTGATTAGAATCTGCTATTGTAGCAAGGTAGACCAAATTTGTATGTAACATTTGCTGATACCTATAAAAAAAAATATTGACATTAAAAACTCATTTTCTTCCTAGCTGCTTAAATAGACAAATTTCTAATTATTTTTCAAGTTAAAGACCTGTTACATGACTATCAAAAGCATTTCAAGTTTTCCTAGTTCTTCTGTAATGCTGTTCCAAACATACTTGACCATAATGAACACAGGTATTATCATGTGTGAGATAGTGTTAAAGTCCTGGGGGCACTGATTGAAAGGACTGGTCTGAGACATTATATGTCTGAAACTCAATGATAAATAACTTTGTAATTTCACAGTGACTAAATAATTTAAGTAACAACAGTTTTGTATTGTAAACCATAATGACCAGGGAGGGGAGGGGAGGGGGAGAGTTGGAGAGAGGGAGAGAGAAAGAGAGGGGGAAGGAGTGAGAGAGAGGGGGGAGGAGAGAAGAGAAAGAGAGAGAGAGAGAGAGAAGTGCCTGTCAGAGGCAGACTGGGGAGTGGGGGTAGTGGCGGAAAGGAAACTGGGGACACTGGTGGTGGGCTATGTACACTATTGAATGGATGGTACTGGAACATCCTGTGACTGAAACCCAATCATGAACAACTTTGTAACTGTGTATCTCACAATGATTAAAAAATATATATAAATAATTAAGTGATGATAAAAATATTTAATAAGGTTTTATATACTTGTATGTTTCATTTACTCCGTAAGCCAACATCTTAAGGTAAAAAAAAAAATCCTATTTTCTAAGAATTCACCAAGAAAATTCTCATTTTCTTATTTGGAAAATTAGAAATTTTGCATTTAAAAAAGAAATCACTGACAAGAAAACTGAGATTTAAAAGGCTAATTGCTTAGCTTCATAAATCCAGTAACTCATATTGTTATGTGCTGGTTCAACACTTATTATGTTTGCTCTTTTTAAAAAAGAAAAATGTGGGCTTCCCCAGAGTGTCCTCTACAACAGAGCCAAAATCCTGGCCCGCACTTTTTTTTTAAAAAGACCTCAATGAAATGACTATGGGAATCCCTTCCTTTTCCCATTTCATGTCTCCAAACACCTCAAACCCAAGTACAGTCACACTACTCTGCTAAAATGTCAGAAAGGGGGTAGTCACTATGTTTTTCTCCTTCTGGCTCCAGTAGCAATGACAAATTCATATATTCTAGCTCTTTCTACTATCCATATATTAGGACTCAGAACAAAGAAAATAAAAGTATCCTCCAGTTACAAAAAAAAAAGAGTATGTTAAAATAGAAATCAGGGGCTGGAGCGATAGCACAGCAGGTAGGGCGTTTGCCTTGCACGTGAAATAAAAGACAGGACAGCAAAATCACTAAGAATTAACTTAACAAAATCATAAAAACATAAAGCAAATCTTCATTACTGGAATTAAAAGGTTAAACATATGATTGTAATCATGCTTACAAATTGTCTTGATAAGCCTCTCTTCATAACTTTAAATTAGCTCAGATGAAACAGGATTAAAATTGCTAATGATCCAATTACTAACATTAGGAAATGCCCAAAATAGCACTGTACCACTGTCCTCCCGTTGTTCATCGATTTGCTCGAGCGGGCACCAGTAATGTCTCCATTGTGAGACTTGTTATTACTGTGTTTGGCCCCTCCCATACTCCACAGCAGCCTCAGGGGAGCCTTGCTGTGCCAAGTCCCGACACTTAAGGCCCAAGCAGGAGGGACAGTGCCCTGTGCTGGACTCAGGACCCCTTGCTGCATCCTGTGTGTTTGCTTCTGGGGTCCCCGCTCAGGGACTCGCTTGCTTCACTACCATTGGGTCTGACTCATCTATTAAGCTTGTGTGTATGTCTTTGGAGGGCTGGAGCGATAGCACAGTGGATAGGGCATTTGCCTTGCAGGCCCAAAATAAAAACTTAAAATTTGCATGGAATTATTAGGCTTTAGAATTCCATTTGACATTAAAACACAAATTAATGAGAATCCATTAATAGCTTTCGTGAAATATTCTAATATAGATCTTACAGGAAGTAATTTTCTCAAATACACATCATACAAGGAAACGAAATAAATTCATTATTGTGTTACTTTCCTACTATTTCAGAAACAGCTACACTACTTTTTTCTCATTTTTTCTCATTGAAAATAAAGACATTAACAACACTATGCTTTTTATTTACTTTGTGCTGACTTACTAGCATACAGATGATATAGAGAAAACTGCATTATGTGTACAACTTGATTAGTTTGGACATAGACAAACATCCCTGATAACATCACCACAACCAAGATGATTCAACACTTCCCAGTTTTGTTTCCCTTTGTTTTCTTGTTGATGTTTTAAAACAAATCTAAGTAATGTTTCTCCACACAAATACACCATGGTTGCCCAGATTTTATTTAGTTTGTTAGAGATACCTTACATAAACAAGGAACAGGAATCATTGCATTGTACTGAATTATTCATTATGGTTAATTATGTGTTGAAATTCTTCAAAGAGCACAAATAGGCACCACTACAACATATAACCTATCTCAAGGTCTCAATGAATACTCACTTTTCAACTTATACTCAAATGAGATGTGATCACTTCATAAAAAAATAGAAATACAAAACATGATATTAGTTATATATGATCCCTTAAAACTGTGACCACCAAGGAAGGGGTCAGAGAGATAGCATAGTAAGACATCTGCCTCCACGAGCCAACCCGGGTTCAATTCCCAGTCCCCCATATATATGGTCCCCTAAGCCCCTCAGGATCAATCCCTAAGTGCAGAGTAAAGAGGAATTACTGAGCACCACAGGGTGAGGCCCAAAAATGTATAAGCTGAGTATAGGACTCAGGACAGCCTGGGCAAGGCCAGGCACCACAGGGCCCTCCTCAGAACCACTGCTCTTAGTTGGCTAAGAACCACAGGGAGTAGTTCTAGGCCATCCAACACTGGGAAGTACTATCCATAACCTACTTTTTAAGTTTTAAAAGTCAAAAAGCTCTGGTTTGCTGATCGAGCTGCTTATTGGCCATGATCCCAGAGACTCAGAAACAAATCTCGGAACCCAGCGGCTTTTGGCAGAAATCCCTCCAGATTTAATTATTAAAACTTCAAAATTCCAAGGGGCTAGAGCGATAGCACAGCGGAAGGGCGTTTGCCTTGCACACAGGCAACATGGCCAACCCGAGTTTGATTCCGGCAAGCTACCGAGAGAATCTCACCCGCACGGCAGAGCCTGGCAAGCTACCCATGACGTATTCAATATGCCAAACACAGTAACAACAAGCCTCACGATGAAGATGTTACTGGGCCTGCTCGAGCAAATCGATGAACAACGGGAGGACCGTGACCAGAATTCCAAAATCGCAGGGTTGGAGCAACAGCACAGCAGGTAGGGCATTTGCCTTGCACGCAGCTGACCCAGGTTGGATTCCCAGCATCCCATATGGTCCCCTGAGCACCACAGGGGTAATTCCTGAGTGCATGAGCCAGGAGTAACCCCTGTGCATCGCCAGGTATGACCCAAAAAGCAAAAAAATAGAACTCCAAAATTGCACAGCCACTATGGTGGCTGCACGACATCATATGCAATTCATAATCAGCAATAGAAAACAAATTGTCTAATATTGCCTTTTCAGCTGATTTGAGTGTTGGGGTAAAGTCCCAAATAACAATGGTGGGTCTGGTTTCAAAATATTGAATGTAATCAAAGTAGAGAGAGAAATGTGGAAATCATCTGCCACACAGGTAGGGGGAGGGTGTGGGATGAGGGGTTTTTGGTGGTGGAAAATGTGCACTGGTGAAGGGACAGGTGTTTCATCACTGTATGACTGAGACTTAAACAGAAAACTTTGTAACTGCTCTCTCGGATGATTAAAAAAAAAATAAAGCCAAAGAGTAGATCAAGAGGTAATTTAAAAGACACATTTTGCACAAGGGAGCCCCAGGTTCCCCAGCCTGTGGTCCTCAGAGCACCAGCAGGAGCAGGGCCTTTTTGTATGATCCAAATGGCAATAAGCTTATTCTAACATAATTAAAGATTAAAAGATGAAAAAAATAAACAGTATATTCATATCCTTATGTAATCTTATGTAAGTTTCTATAATAGATCACCTACAGGGGATGGAGTAATAACACAACGGGCAGGTTGTTTGCCTTGCATGCGGCAGACCCAGGTTCAATTCCCAGCATCCCATATGGTCCCCCAAGCACCTCCAGGAGTAATCCCTGAGTGCAGAACCAGGAGTAACCCCTGTGCATCGCCAGGTGTGACTCAAAATGCAAAAAAAAAAAAAAAAAAAAACCTAAAAAAGTAAATATATATTAAATTAAAAATCATTTTTCTTTTTAAAGCAGAATAGCATATTGTGGGGGGATGGAGGTGCCTGAGTGATAGTACAGTGCAAAGGGTGTTTGCCTTGCACGTGGCCAACCAGGGTTCAATCCACAGAACCCCATATGGTCCTCCCAGAATAGCCAGGAGTAATTTCTAAGTGCAGAGTTAGGAGCAACTCCTGAGTATTGATGGGTATGGCACCAAAAATAAACAAAGTATAAAATATATGTAATTTTGGGTCTGGAACGATAGCACAGCGGGGAAGGCGTGCAGTCTGCTGCGTGGTGGTCTGCACTATCTGGGGCCCACCTTGCCCCGGCAGTGTCGTCATTGTCATCATCCCACTACTGCACCTGTCGGTTTTAAAGGCTTTTTATCCTGCCGCGAATCAGATGCATCGCCTTGAGCGCAGTGATTCAGACTTTATGTACTTTTGTATGTTGTAATATTTCTTCAATAAATCTCCTATAAAGCGCAAAAAAAAAAAAAAAAAGCAAGCAGCCAACCCATGTTTGATTCCCAGCATCCTATATGGTCTCCCAAGCACCGCCAGAAGTAATTCCTGAGTACAAAGCCAGGAGTAACCCCTGAGCATCGCTGGGTGTGACCCAAAAAGCAAAAGTAAATAAATAAATTAAATATATGTATTTTTTATTCCATCAATACTACACTTACCAATGAAACAATGTACTCTTTTGATGTACAGACAC